TCGTCCGCCGCCGGCCCCGTCCTCGCCCACTGGACGCCCCTCGACACTCGGGCCCACCTCCCAACCCCCCCCCCCACCCCCTCCCACCCGCTCTCGGCCCCGCACAGTGGCGGGCGCGCCGGTGGTGGAGCACTGCATGGCCGGCTTCAACTCCTCCATCTTTGCCTACGGCCAGACGGGGGCGGGCAAGACCCACACCATGATGGGCGAGGCCTGCGCCTCCGAGGCCGGCGGCTTGCACCCCGACTGCGGCCTCACGCTGCGCGTCTTCGCCGCCCTGTTCCGCGCCATCGAGGACGTGGAGCGGGGGGAGGGGCCACAGACGCTGCGCTACCGCATCTCCTGCTCCTTCCTGGAGATCTACAACGAGGAGATCACAGACCTGCTGGCACCGGGGCCGGCGCTGCAGATCCGGGACGGCGACGTGAAGCGGGGAGTGTACGTCCAGGACCTCAGCGAGCACAACGTGCTCAATGGTGAGGCCTTGGAGAGGAGGGGAGAGGGGGGGCTGGGGGTGTAGCCAGCAACAGCAGGTGATGGAAGCATGGAATGGCTGTCCCAAGTGACAGGCTGGTTGGTATGAAGGGGTCTGGATCGGAGGGGTGCCCCACCCTCATCCCACGGCGCTCGGGTCTCTGCGAGGCCACCATCAGCCCTACGGCATGTGGCAAATGACACCTGGGAAACTCGGTCTCGACACACGCACAACCCTTCAGCCACCCCCTTCCCCCCTGCCCCCCCACAGCCGACGACGTGATGGTGCTGATCCAGCGGGGCAGCGAGAACCGGCACATCGCGGCCACGCGCATGAATGAGCGCAGCAGCCGGTCCCACTCGGTGTTCACCTGCACAATTGAGGCCACGGAGCGCGCCGACACGGGGATCACCAGCACCCGCACCAGCAAGCTGAACCTCATAGACCTGGCGGGTGGGATGTTGGGAGGGGAAGGGGTCGGGATCTTTGGTGTTTTGGGGGGTTGGGGGGTGGGTGAAGGTGAGGCTGAGTGATGCAGAGTGGGTGGCATCCTGGCGCCAGTCTTCGCACCACGGTCCATGGCCTGAGGAAGGGTGCCTGAACGGTACCACAGGGCAGAGCAAAACACGCATGGCCTGCACCTCGACATGGCCCTGGCACAAACACTCGCACCTCCGACTCCATCCCACCCAAAGAAGTGAGCCCTCGTCGGCACCCGTGCAGGGTCGGAGCGGGTGGGTCGCAGCGGCGCGCGCGGCGACCAGCTGACGGAGGCGCGGTCGATCAACAAGTCGCTGACGGTGCTGGGGCGCGTCATCTCCGCGCTGGTGGAGCGCCAGAAGCGCCCCGCGGTGCACGTGCCGTACCGCGACTCGCGCCTCACTTTCCTGCTGCAGGAGTCGCTGGGCGGGAACAGCAAGACCAGCGTGGTGGCATGCGTGACCCCTGCCGCGGAGTCAGCCACGGAGAGCCTGAGCACGCTGCTGTTCGCGTCGGGGGCCAAGAAGATCCGCAACCGCGCAGTGGTGAACGAGGAGTCGGGCGGCGACCTGCGCGCGCTGCAGCAGGAGAACGCGCGCCTGGTGCGCCTGGTGTCGGAGCTGCAGCTGAGGGCGCGCCGCGCCGATACCGGGGTGGAGGGCTGCGCCGGGCTGGATGCGGGCGGGAGGGCTGAGGGCGGGAGGTTTGAGGGCGGGAGGTTTGAGGGCGGGGGCGGCGGCGGCGCCGCGCCGCGCCGCCTGCCCCCGCTGCTGCTGCCCGCCGCGGCGGCTGGCACCGCGTCCCCCGGCGCCGACCTCCCTGCCGCGCTGCCGTCGCCAAGCTTGGGCGCACTGCGCGCCGAGCTGGAGCGCCTGCGCGCCACGCACGCCGACACCAGCAAGGAGGTGACAGCCGCGCGTGCGGCCCTGGAGGCGGAGCTGGAGCGCAACGCGGCGCTGGAGACCGTGTTCGACCAGAACAACATGGCCATCAGCCTCCTACGCGCCGAGGCGGAGGCGCTGAGGCGCGAGCTGGACGGGGAGCGCGGCGAGCGCGCCCGCGCGGCCGCGCGGGCCGACGCCGCGCGGGACGAG